CGCTAACTACATCCTTTACGGAGTCTCACATTTACGTTTTCATAGCCCGATACCGCCATTATTAAAACGAAGAATGTTCACGAGAGAATTGATCAGATTGAAGAACTCTGTCGGAAGAAATGCGTAAATATGACCACTTCTACAATCCGTCATTGGCGGGTTGTAGAAGCGGGTTGGATTCATGGAGGGAGATCGCCGCAAACATCGGTTTGCCGGTCGAGAGGTGAACAAAGTTGTGGAGGAAAATACGGGACAAGGTCAAATCTTACATTAAAAGAAAAACACTGAGCTGGGAACAGGCTGCAGAAGCAGAAATCATTCGACAGTCAAAAGTGAAGAAGTAAAGACCCTCTATGGTAGTGGGTCTGTCAAAAGAAGTAGCCAGCTACACAAGCTTGACCCTACTTTGCAAGATGGCGTCTTAAGAGTTGGAGGACGGCTGGATAAATCCACCTTAACTGACACCCAGCAATTCTGTCAAAAGACTCCAGAATCGCCACCCTCATCTTGCTCGATCTTCATGAAAAGATTGGACATTGTGGCCTTAACTATATGTTGTCGCAGCTAAGACAAACATTTTGGATTCCGCAACCCACCTCTGCCATTAGGAAGTCTTGACACCAGCTCTTGCATCAACACAATACGTTGTTTTGTAAGCAGAAGAGGCCATGTTTCCATTGTGCGCTCTGACAATGGCACACATTTTGTTGGCGCAGAATAAGAGTTGGCGAGAGGCCAGTGAAAACCTGAACCAGGTACAAATTGAAGAAACTATGCAAAAGAAGGGCATAAAGTGGATTTTTAACCGCCCAGCCGCTTCACACCAAGGAGGAGTTTGGGAGCGGCAGATTCGTACCGCACGGAAGATCCTTAGTACAGACGCTCACTGTTTACACACCTCCTGGATCCTGATTGGTGTCGCTGCTACAGCCGCAAGGCACTGATTGGATGGTCACAGACCGTAATACAGCGCAGATGAAAAGGATTCAGACTACGGCGTTTATATGTTCAACAATAGGAAACGTAGTCTTAGCTGTTTTAAAACCAAGTTTATTTCGGATTATTCCAACGGAAGAATACAAGGCGCAAAATGTATTAGGTCATAACGTGTGGAGTTTTGTGAAAATTGCAACCCAGTGAACTATGGACCAGTAAATAGTGGATTTATTAAAAGAGACATTATCTGCCCCTGTGGATGGAATAGAATGCTGGATGGAACTGTAGTACACGTGTGTTCCGTGACTCAAATACATTAGAATGTTGAGGTGTTCCAGTGTATAAAGCCAGGCTCCCGTAGGAATTAACCTCAGTATCTTCAACATCTCCGCAGAGGACACCTGGACAGCTCTGAAGCTCTGAGGCCGGCCGCGGCAAAACCACTGGTCACTGTTTTTTTTTTCTTTTCCTTTGACTGTGGTCAGGCTTCCTGGGGGGCTCCCCACCCATCGTAGTGGCCCTGGGATGGTGTATTTCTGGTGACGTGAGGGTCTACCATCCGGCGAATTAGCTGATGAAGTTCCAAGCTTTTCAGGTGTCAACATGTTACATATTTTAACTTTGTTTCTACAGCATTTCATTGACATGACGGAAATATTCTTATACTGTATGTAACCAAACTGGAGACATCTGAAACAACTTGAACTCATCAAGCTATTTCAGTCGGGTGTAACCCTTTCATGTCAGCAGATTGCTGCTCACTATGTTGAGCAGTTTGGGGAGTGTCCTGCAGCAATTGTATAGATCTGCATTCTGGGAAGACGCTGGTCACCCACGTAGTAGCCCTGGCTTGTCTAAGTCGATGCTTACAGTGGGCGTTTGGACTGTGGGAAAGACTCAGTCACGCTCTATAAACCCTACATTGGGGACCTCCGTTGCTATGTGGTGGCAAGCCATCGCGGCCCAGAGGAAACTTTCCTCTGGAGGACTGTTTCCTCTGGGGCTTGAGTGGCTGCTGTAAGCATCGTGCAAAGATGATCGGTCGGTCTTCAATGCTACAAGGAGACAGGAAGTCTGCGTGCCAGTCTGCCTCAGAGCTCACTTCAGGCTTCTTGTGTGTCCGATGTAGGATGCTGTTGTAAGATACTCACACCAAACTCTTGTTTAAACCGGCAGCATTTCTGACCTGTAACTTTGGATCCAGAATAGACTTTTACTGCTACCGCTTCTCCTAATTTGGCTCAAGATGTTTGGTGTCACCAAAATGATTTTAGGATTAACTAGTCTCTCCTTGAATATTGTAAACATATATTATTACTAAAATGTTAAGTATAAAATAGATTTTATTACACGAGAAAAAGGGAAAAATAGATACATCGTAAGTACATTAGGCGTCTTAAGGACACCAAAACAATCGACTTCTGACCCCGGATTCCGGCCCTGTGATCTGGGCCCCTCGACGCCTGACATCGTAACTTCCAATTCCGGCCCAAGTCCAGCCGGCGCTTCCGACTCTGGCAACCAGCCTCCTGGCCCCAAGTTCAGCTCCATGTTTCCTGCCGCCGGAGGCAGCGATTCCTGCTCCTTGTCTCCCATAGGCAGAACACCTGAGCCCACGGACCAGTCTCTCATCGATGGCAGTCCCTCCAGACCCTCCTCCGGACCCTCCTCCAGACCGTCCTCCAGATCGTCCTCCAGACCATCCTCCAGGCCGTCCTCCAGATCGTCCTCCAGATCGTCCTCCAGGCCGTCCTCCAGACCGTCCTCCAGATCGCCCTCCAGACCGTCCTCCAGATCGCCCTCCAGAGAACTCTCGGTCACTCGACTGTGGTCCCCCGGACCGCCCTCTCCCTCCCACCCCCATAGTGTGTTTAGGTTATCCCTCTGTATGGCCCAACCACCCACCTTTGTGTTGAATCATTGACTCTTCTGTGTCTTGTTCCTAAATAAAGTATTTTTTGTTCGTAAAGTCTGCGATTGGGTCCTACTTCTGCCATCAACTGTGATAGAGAATGATGCAGCTTGTGTATTAACAAGAACTAAGAAAAGGGATCATATTACTCCTGTTTTAGCATCTCTGCACTGGCTCCCTGTTAAATCAATAATAGAATTTAAGGTACTTCTCCCCAACTAAAAGGCACTTGCTGGTCAAGTGCCCTCTTATCTTTAGGAGCTTATAGTAACATGCTGCGCTAAATGCTGGGTTACTTGTGGTTATAATAGTTTTAAATAGTAGGATGGGAGCCAGAGCCTTCAGTTATCAAGCTCCTCGTTTGTGGAACAGTTTACACTCTCAGTCCAGGGGACAGACGCAGTCACCTCATTTAAGACTAATCTGAAGATTTTGCTCCTTGATAATCTAGTTAGGCCTGGCTCAGGTAAGCCTGAGCCCACTCAGATGTGAGAGGAACTATGAGAGCATATTATTAATCACATTTAGGAGAGAAAGTAGAGAAGTGAGAGCGGTGTGAGTGTGAAGTAGACGGGAAGAAGTAGGTCAAAGTAATAACAAATTATAGGACATTGAACTGATCAGCAATCCCGGATTAGGTATTTGTATCAAGCTATCTATTTCAGATACATGACCGATCCTTGTCATTACTCTGGTTGATTTCAAGTGAGTCTTCTTTGGATTGTCATTGACACAGACTGTTATCTGGAAGCGATAAGTGAACAAACAAGAGTTGAGAAACAATCAGAGCACCTGTGTCATGAGTGTGGTTGTGTCTGCGCATGTCACTTCTGTCATTACGCCACTACATGCAAAGGTGGATAAAAGAAAATGCATCTCCTATTTTGCAGCCTCAAGATGTGCAAATTAATTCTGGCTAAACTGTCGTATTCACTGAATTATTACAATAGTAATGTTGTTTTACAGGGTGCATTTACGTTTTAAATGAGGGAAGGGTTGAGTACTTATTTGCAGGTTAGGATCAGTGAATTTGTAGGTAATGAAGAATTTGCTCAGGGCAACGTTCTCACAGCTTAGTCTGCATAGCTGCATGCTTCCTGGGATGAAAGTATAGTCTAGTTATATAGTTTATTGTCCACTTCACAAAGCAGGACCACAAAGAACCGTTTTAAGAGCTCGTAATCAAATCCTGTTCTCTTCAGCCGTTCCCTGCACCAGAATTATTGTTTCCTTTACCACAATATTCAGTTTAACTACACACTTGTCCTCTGCCTTTCTCTTCATGGCATATCACTTCATAGGTCTTGAGGAGCTCGCACAATCCAGGATTAATGTTTAGGATCAAGGTCATATCGGTTATTCCGGTTGTAGGTTGTGCACAAAAGTGTGAAATAAATGACTAACCAAGTGTGCTAGTGAACATCAGTCAGTTATCACTTGACAGTAGACATTGTATATGACTCGTCATAACGCTAAAGGTTTTGTATACGGTTCTGTTGATGTGGCTGTTTACACACATCATATTTACCCAAACATTACTGAACATCAGCATTAACTTAAGCCTAGTTTATGCTTCTGCGTTTTCAGAGCGACGCAGAGTCAAGACTCCCTTGCGTGCCTTTTCACACCTCCTTGCATCCTTGCGTGCATCGACCCATTTTTCTAGGCTTGCGTCGAAAGTGACGCAAGCCTCCCGCAGCGCACAAGGCTACGATTGGTCTGCTAACTGTATCCTTTACGGAGTCTCACATTTCCGTTTTCATAGCCCAATACCGCCATTATTAAAACAAAGAATTTTTACAAGAGAATTGATCAGATTGATTGAGTCATTGGCGGACTATAAGGACGCGCGGATGGCCACGGATTCATGGAGGAAGATCTCCGGAAACGGTTTGCCGGTCGAGGGGAACAGTTGTGGAGGAAAATACGGGACAAATGTGTGTGCAATGAAAAGCAACAGTGGCAATGCACGGAGCAATAAAGTCTATGATAAATAAATAAACAAACCAACAACTTCCACAAACAAAGACGTGACTCTCCAAGCTTGTTGTTCTGGAGGTGAATTGCTCTGCAACACACGCAAGCCTTTGAACCATAAATTGAAACTAGTGCATCGACGCAGCCTTTATAAAGAATTGCATTTTAAAACAAGTCAAATTTATAGCATCAACTTTTTAATTCAAGTGCAGAATTCAAAATCAAACATTTGGAATCAGAACGTATCCTATTAAAAAACTAGCAAATTACAATAGAATAAAAATAACCAGAAGATAATTTTCTGCAATAAGTAAAATCAGTATTGGAGGATTAACCCTTCCTCCCTATTGCGCTAAAAAAAAAAAAAAAAAAAAAAATTGCGTAGAACTCTACCATCTCCTTGTAAAAACTCGCTGCCTCGGGACGGCCTAATGACGATATCTCGGGTGAGCGTACGGAACATAGTGGAGTTTGACACGTTGCCTCCTCATCACGTTCTGTTGATGGTGCCTGTTAGGTGGCCTGTAGTCGAACCCTGCAGGACATACACAACATGTTAAAAAGCTCAAGGACACTGCCAATGATAGGATCGGATAAGCTACAAATTCATTAATCCAATTATCTCTTACCATTTCCGAGGGGGGGTTGTGGTAGGTAATTTGGCTGCGGGTTGGTTAGGAAATCAGAAGGCCAGCAGTCGTTGGAAAACTCCCCCCCGTAGCTGTAATTTCTCCTTAATGGGTGTCGCTCTGTAAGGGTGACAATGGAGGTTGGTGTTAGATGGCACTATGTTTTGGTTTCTTAAGTTGAATTCTACTGCACAAGAACCTGACATTTAATAGTTGATACCATAGATGACAAACATCCTGCAATCAAGGTGCATTATAAAAATGAGTTTGAATATTTTAAGCAGGTTTAAAACAAAAGGCACAGGAAATAAATATTTTATCATCCACTGTTCACCGTTGTATACCTCAAATCTATAATTACAACTATAGCTCTGATAAGGAATATATTTTACCCATATTTGCTTTTTGTGAATTAAGAAAAGCAATAGAAATAATCCGAATCACATCATCTGTCTTACCTGTAAGTGTGGAATTTTCATTGGTTGGCCACTGTGCAGCAACCTCAGTGTTCTCTAAGAAAAAAAACATTTCACCCCAATTAAATATATTCTTTAAAATGTAAAAATAGAAAACCGCAGATTTGCAGTTGTACGCTTCCACCAAACATCATGACATGTTGTAATGATTGATAAGTGAATTCTGAAGAAAACCGTAAAACCCTACCATCCCATTATCGCAGTATGCCTAAACCACATCCCATATTATAGATGTACGTGTGTGCGCAGTATTCCTCCTCACCCACAGCAGCCAGTGGCATAGCAACACCCCAGGCCTGTGCAGAGTGCTCCAACAACAGAGAGGTTATCTTGCGGTGGGCAATGGCATTCCAGTGGACCCCGTCGCTGGTGCGATGTTGCAGGGAAAAGCGGAACTGGAAGTGGAGGTCCACCACATCCATCCCATAGGCATCAGCCAGAGTACCGCTGTAGAAGTTAGCTTCAATCACATCGTATCGCAGGTGAGAAGCCTTGTGCTCAATCTGAGACGAGGGAGGGCGAAGAGGACAACGCTTTGTGGCCGGAAAAGCAGTTAAGGAAAAGGCTTCCTATCCTCCATTGGAAAGTGAGGGGAAAATAACCAAACTACTTTTACACGTTGCTATAGTCTCCAATGGACAGTTACTCAATTTTAGTAATGCAATTCACTTTAGCTCCACCGGCAACTATTAGGACCCTAAAAGTCTAGTGCAGTCTATTTGACGTGAACGTATGAAGTCATAATTTAAAACTTTTACTGGGACATGAGAATGTCAATATCAGAATGATTTAGCTGTTGATGGAGACTAATCAAATACATAATATTCTAAATCTAGTCCAGTTTGTCATTCCGTTTTTGACAATGCAGCCGTTTCAGAGGGTCAATGTTGATTGCATGTATGTATACACACACCTCAGTAGTGGTTACACACCACCCGTTTCTGGTAATGTTAATTCCCAGTAAGGTTTAATGTGAAATAACCTTTTTACAGGCCAAAAATTGACTCAACAAGATCAAATTCCAAGGTGTTTGCTGATGTTGTACCTCTGGCACCAGGAAGCCTCCTTGAATACGCTTTCCTAAGGGCATGGTGAGATTCCATATGACCAGTGTTTCCTGAGGCACATTCCTTTTCAGCTCAGCAAAGAATGTGTGTAAGTTTTCCTTGTAGTTTTCAAGCCAACTGGAGTTGTATCTATGAAACAAGAGGCCCAAATTACTAGATTAACTAATAGAGATAGATGGATTTCACACTTTCTTAATTCACTGTGCTGTTATCTGGTCTGAATCAATGTAGATCAACACAAACAGCTGGAAATTGCATGAACAGGTATAGAGGAGACAGACAAACAACCACTTTAAAATTACAATTCAGTCGCACTGGAATAACTCAATGTTAACAGAACACAAGTATAATTACTCTATTCTACTACCCACCTGGAAATATCCCAAACACAGGAGTTGAAGATGATTACATCAGGCTTCAAGCCATTGTGCAAGTCCTCAAAGAAGCTTTGCATGTACGAAGAGTAAACACGCGTGACAAAGTAGAATCTGACTAAATGGTGGGCGGACCGGAACTGGCGAACCTCCCGGTACGCAGTGCCATTATGCATTCTTTCAAAGGATCCACCTTCCACCAGGCAGTCCTGTTCAAAACACATCTCACCCTGAAAGACAAAACACAAGTGCAAGCGTAACAGGAAAAAATGAGAAATACACAAGTTACCCGTATTGGGAAAGAGAAAACCATTTAAATAAAAAGGATGCCGTGCAACCCACAAAAAAACAAAACTGTTCAGAAGTTCAGATATTGAACTTTCTAATACATCAGCCTATAATGATATTAAAGTGGCAATGTCAAGATGTTCATTTAAATAATTATTAAAGTGTCTATTAACAGGGGAGGTCAAATAATTGGGATTGACTGGTGAAAGTACTACAATGTTAATACATCAGAAGTATTACAAACAGGGTCCCAGGAAAAAAAATGTGTGTCAAAAAACTACTCACACAATGGGAGTCTTCACACATGGACATTCTAAATAGACCAGGACTGAAATCTACAGGATGGCCACTTTAAAACAACCATTGAACTTTCATCTTCGTTTAACAGTATGAACACTTGCCTTGCTCTTCAGCTGCCTGGTGGAGAGAAACGTTTCCTTCTGCAAGAGCAGAACAAGGTCCTTGTATACAGACCTCTGAACTACAAGTGAAACACGGAGAGCATTAACTAAAAAAAACCATGTAAATGTCTTATTACTTCCCATGTTTTTTTAGAACTTCGGGGACTACGTACTGGAGTCCCCCAGCACCACAACAAACTTGTTGTGCAGCAACTGGCTGGCCTGCTGATGGCTGACACACTTCGTGATATCCTGTTAATTCAACACAAAAAAATGTGTGTCGTTTGCAATGAAACACTGTGAAAGTCACATGGTGACTCGTGAAACACCTTTTTACACATGCAGTTTATTTTGTTAAATCGTTGACATGTAACAATTATATGGCTAATAACTTCAAAGCTAGCTAACGTCAGCTAGCGTTAATTGTTTACCTTGGCTAACGTTAGCTCCTGGTTAAATTAGCATTAACGGTATACACTCGTAAAAAAAGAAAAGAAACACAATCGTACTTACCATTATAAATTGTTGCGCAAATTGTAGATGTAGCCTTGTTACACAGTCGAAGCTAAAATTAACCAACTACATTTAAGATAATTAACGTCAACTCAATGTTGGCTAAAGACGCAAGACGGTTTTAGCTTCAACGTTAAGTTCCTCGTGCCAAATCCGCAATGGCTTCTTCAACTGATTAACGTTAACTTACCAGGCTCTAATGTTTTATTGTTTGAAAACTACACGTTTTAGTAACGTTAGTTGTTTGAAAACCTTGTTTGAAAACAAGTTTTAGCAGTTGTGTCAATTTGTGTCTTCGCCTTAGAAGTTTTCAATCACTAAATTATTCCATACTGCCGTTAATATAACGGCAGTTGGCCACAGGTTTCTCCAATCTGAAGACGCATTCAAGGACTATCGGAAAATTGGACGTTTCCGTTCGCGCCTTCAATTGTTAAAGTCTAACTCAAATGAGTTAAATTAAGATGTGGTTCGATTGGCTTAGGCCTATGTGCATAAAGCTTGTAACTATGAACTGGTAATACAAAGAATGTAAAGCTTAGAAATATGTATTCATTTTAAAATTCTATTTAGCCCTCCGCTCATTGAGTACTGAATTCACCCTGTATTGGAATACGACCTGGCACCAGGTTCTCCAGGCAATTAGGTCGATTGGTGTTGAATAAATTCAAATTAAAGAGTAAATCAACAATTGTAATGGTGAGAATGTCTTTCTGAGCAACAATCTTTCTGAGAAATTGTCTCTTTTATGAAGTTTAAAATGATCTAGTGTGTTACCCTGAATATTAGGATTGGAGAACAAAACCGATTAAAACTGTCTTTAACTTTTTGAAGAATCCCAAAAAATATGGAACACTGTAATTGAGAAACAACTGTAAGCTGGGAAATGTTTATTAAGATGGCGCTGTCAATCAAATACATGGTAAAGGTGTACTGGATAAACTTACATTTATAAAAATCCATGAATAAACTAGCCTTTCAAAATTGCCTCTTTATTTATTTGCTTGGGAACAGTCGCACAAGACGCTACGCACAGTGAAATGAAACTTCCTTCCTACAGAACACAACCTCTGTTTATCTCCTACTAATTGCTTTCAGAAGTCACTATCATCATCACAATATATCTGTATGTTATCTTTTGTTGTCTCTTCCTCCTGCTCCTTTGTTTTCTTTTCTGCCGCACTCTCTTCATCTGTGTCATCTTTCTTCATCTCGCTTCTCTGGTGGAACTCCTGATAAATCCCTGACAGAGCTTTTGCTGCTTCCAGAGACACTTTCAGGTTTCCTATCACCTCCTTGTCTTCATCCACACTCACCACTGAAGGAAAACCGAGACAGCTAACTGTTAAAAAATCCCTCTGTGATGTATTCGTTGTCCTCCCAATGGTATCAAAAGTATGACACAAACACCCACCATCAATTTGTTGGTCGCTGACATCATTTCCAGTGAGCAGCAGTTCCTGCAGGTCCAGAAACGCATGTCCAACGTCCACACACTCCTCATCGTCGTCGTCCATTGGCTCACTGACTACTGTGAACTTTAACCTTGCCATAACATACAGACATATGAACTTATATTTAGTGTTTTTGGTCTTGACACATCCATAAATTGCAGAAAAATAAATATACTTCATACATATATTTAATATTTTGTTACGGTGACACAAAAGACACTAATTACACTACCTGCCCTGATTGGGGTCAGTGCCCTCCAACATGGTGTATAGATACTGTCTGAGTGGAGCTGACTGTGAGCCATCCACATATATCACTGAGGGAGACAAGGAAGAGGATTTGGAAAGTACAAAACAGTCGCAACTTCCTACAAACAACTACAGTCGAAGATCACCCACTCTCACCTCGCGTGAAGTTGTAGTGAATCTCCTCTCCCTTTGTGGGTTTGCGGAGGGACATGGGCGTTTCTGTCGTCTCCATCGGGACGCCCAGCAGCCGGTATTCCACATAAACACGCTGCACTGACTTGTTCAGTGCCACGCGTGAGGACGGCTCAAACGACAGGGACAGAATCTCGACTCTCAGCTTGTCACCCTGAGACATGAATCAAAGTCAACTATTCATGTCATGTTTCAATAATACAATTAATTTTTTCATTCATACATTTGCTCCCACTCAAACAGTTACTTTGTTCGTACCTTCCTCATTTTCCGTTTTGGTGGAATGACGATGATGTCGCTTTGTGAGGAACTTGATTCTAAAGACTCTTGGGCTTCCCTGTCCTCTGCAGCAGCTGGTTAGACAAAAAAAGAGAACATCATTATGTTTTCAATTAGACCGACTGGGCTGAAAACCAAAGTCCTGTCAGCATACAACACCTAATGTATTCCAGGTACATTTTTAAATCAAATATGCATATTTAGCAGGGTTTTGAGGTCAAATGGGTTCCTAAAAACATTTTTTTTGCAAATATAAAAAAAGAGTGAGGATTAAAATGACTGCAAGATACTGTAGGATCATCAACAGTTACCACTCTCACTCCTTTCTTCTTCCTCCTCCTCTTCATCCATTGACACCTGATCCAAAGGATGTTCCTGAGAAAAATACATTTGGTACAAGCATTCACCAGCCAGTCTCTTCCAATTCTAATCACATGCCTTTCTTATTCCACAACATTGTATAAACATCTATTACCAGGCATTGTTTGAAGGCATTTCTCCCGAATGAGCTCTTACCTGAATACTGGCATTGCTGGGAGAGCTTGTCCTCGACATTGTGGTGGGTGAAGATCTTAAAATGAATTCAAATAAAACCATTAATTACAATACAAGTAAAAATGATCATACTACAAATGCACGGGCTCTACGCTTTAATTAAAAATCTCAAAAAACTACAGCACCATTATTGACAATTGGTAATCTTTTACAAAATTGTGTGATGCTGTGTGGACTCGAATCCTAAATCTCCAAAACACCATCAAGCTCATCAAATTCTACAGTAACATGATAACTTACTTTCTTGTTTGAAAATGAGAGGGTGTAGTCACACTGGGCTCAGGCGCAAGGTCGGGTGTGTGGGTGGACCTCTTTTTGGGTTTCACCAAGGTGGGTTTCTCTGCTAGTAAGTTCTGTGAGCTTTTCTTTTTTATAGCTGGAGGTCGCGGCTGTAAAACAGAGGAAATATACAAATAAACAAAATAGTTTCTATGCTTGCATGGTAATGAAAACAACAGTTCAGCTCTACATTTGCAACTTTTGGTGGTGATTAGAACCTTACCAAAGCGTCAGTCTCTTTCTGTACTGCTTTGGTTTCCCTTGGCTCAAGTAGCTGAGTCTGCGGTAAAGCCACAGAGGAACAGGCATTTACACATTGATCTTTGTTGATGTTTTTAACCAAACCTCATTCAACATGATGTTGGCAAATTAAACACTCCGTAGAGATACATTTACTTTGAAAGAGGGTTAAGTGTGACACTACTTTTTTATCACTTCTAATCAAGCATTAGAAGTCCTTTTGCCTCACTGGAATAAATAATGTCACCTTCACTCTGGGCCTGGCTATGGGCCTCTGTGAGGATTCGGCCTCCTCTCTCCTCCTCTTCTCCCTCTCAGATCTTTCTACGTCTGGTCTTCCCTGTCTACCAAGCACAGTGTCCACCGATGGCTGGAAGGGGTACTTCCATTTTATCAAGACCCTGACCATGCCCCGAGGTCCACCAGACGGATCCCTCAGAACGTAGTCACCTGGCCGGACAAAGAGGAAAACTGATGATACACTTGATGAACACTGATGATTGGGTGGGTTATGTATTGCTACATGATGAATCTATGCAAGTGAACTAAAGCTTCCTCTAGTGGGAAATGAAGAACAACAATATTACTTTTCGCTCTCCCTTACCTCTGATCTCCCTGCCACTAGCTAGGGCTCGCAGTGGGATGGGGGTCTTGGCCAGATAGGCTGGCGGTATCTCGTCATTGCTGTCGTCAAACACATATACCCACAAACTGCAGGACCTGGACAAAAGCAGAATTTAATATTCTTGAATATTCTTGCAAAAATAGACTATATCAATTTTCAGTTTTGTTAACTTTACAAAAACTGAAATATTGAGATCCTCGTCAATTACGTTAGGATATTTATACATTTATTCTAGCAGTTATCCGATCTCCAAAAATCAACAACACACGAATAAACCTTGGAAATGTACCAAAACAAGTGAATATTATCTGAATTCCTTACATATTTCCTAAATAATACATATTTGACCGTACCTCAGGTAGTGCAATACATCAGCTGTTACAGCTAGAGGGTAGCTGGTAGTATCACTGAACACCGGGTCAGCGGTGGACTGGACAGTTTGAGAGACGTGGGGCGGCAGGTCATATAACCTGTACGTCAGGTAGGCATCAGGAAGAAGTCCAGGCCAGCGAGCATTAAGGCTGAAACAACGTTCTAGCATTACCACCAACTCGTTGGGGATCCCGCCACCGTAGTCATATAACTCCTGCAAACAGCATTAAATAAAACAGTTTCAAAATAACATGTCCCTGTTGCACTTGCTAAACAACAGACCTTTGAACAATTGTCTTTGGGACTTTTCTTTGGCAGAAAAAATGGTCTGTGAATGACTAAAATGTTACATAAAAAAAATCAGTCTGAAGAAATTAAGCCAAAACAACATCCATGGCAATGGACCGCTTAAAGGTAAGATACAAAATATCACCACATTTCACCTCATGACCAGGATCGTGCCAGCCGAGAGGGATGTGCGCTGGTCTCCTCTGTGGTGCTGTTATCCTGTCAGCTCCTCTCTCTGCCACAGTGTCTATGGGCTCTGCTGGATAAAATAAGCGGACCCAGAAATCCACCAGACCAACAACTGCACCCTCGGGACCTTGGACGGACACAGATAGACGGACAGATTATGAGACAATTAATCATCAAATAAGAGAGCGTTACAACAGCAAAATTACACAAAATGAACTAGGCCTATAGGTGTAGATATGTCAATTTAAAAAAATCTCACCCGTGAGATTGACATGTCCACCGACGCGCTCCCCTCTCCTCTCCATAGCACCCACGAGGGACATCTGCCCACTTCCAAGAGTCACAAACCTGACGCCCCCTAGCGCCTGGTGGAGCTCCATTCTGACCCTTGACCCCTGACCTCCCAGCCTGACCAGATCTCGAGCGGTTAGAGCGTAGCGCGACGTGAAGCCGTAGTCAGGTTGGCTTCCTGACACCAAAGGGGTTGAGTGCACCTCAAAGTCCAAGAGGCTGTAGGTGCAGAATGTCACAATGCCCTCGCGGTGGATGCTGCTCATGGAACGAAGCCCTTCTGGGGTGAAAGTGGCAGCCTGAAGGTGCAAAAAACATTTACTTTAGCTCCACAGAAAACTTTTTTCAACGTCTGTTGTGTTTTTTTTTACCTTGAGATGGATCTCCAGCAGTGACTCCCCAGCCCTCAGCTGAGAAAAAG